AGGGACTCATCCAGGCAGTTGCCGCAGAATCGGTCACGATTGAGTGCAGATAAAAAAAAAAAGAATCAGAATAATATAGAATAAAGTTATAATGAAACTAAAAAATTAAGGTAAGTGCCACTAAATAAAGCAGTAAAATCAACTAAAAAGAATGTCAGGATTGTAGTTTATGAATAACATTCTGGCAAACCCAGCAAGATTATAATATAATGACTAGCAAGGTAAGTATGAAACAAAGCACACATTCCATTTAAAAGAACAATAGGGGAAAAAAAACAATCTTAAATGAGAATAAACCATATCTGGCTAACCATGTTCAGTTGGATTCAGCTGTATATTTACCATATGTCTTATTTTATATGCAGCTGCATAGGACCTAGCTAAATTACGTGTAATCTCAGGATTAATGTTAGAAAGCAGGAATTGCACATTTTTCAATTAGTAAATCCTGTTATGTTCTTCAGAAGATGAGTAATTAGAGTGTAAGTTTCTATATAGTAATTGTGCTAGAGGCTTGGTTCCAAAAAGCTTAATATATTGCAGGCATATATAGGCCTCCCCTGAAATAGCAGAAGAGCTGCTGCACTCTTATGAACATTTTCTTAACAGAATGAACCTTTTTGTTTCCATTAGCTGGAGGACCATCCCCAGGTATTTAAAGCATAGTACCTGTTCAATAACATTGCTGTTAAGAGACCAGGATAGACTTTTGGGCTTATTAGCAAATGTCATAATTTTGATTTTGGAGTGATTAATTTCCAATTGGTTGTCTTTAGAATGCTGTACAAAGGCATTCAAGACTGTCTTAAGTCCAGTAAGGTTCTTGAGAAGATTACTGCATCATCTGCATACAGCAGTAGAGCAGTATGTCTCTCTGCCAGTTTAGTTGATGGAAAATCGAGTTTATAAACTGGTCTGATTGCTTGATTGTGTGATTGATTGAAGTGTCAGTGTCTACCCTTAGCAGCCACACAGGTAGGTTTTTCTCCATGACAATCTGTCCCTACCCTGATCCTTCAGGTCTTCCAATGCTGCACCCATTGCCATTGTAACTAAGCCCATCCACTTTGCTGTTGGTCAGCCTCTTCTTCTCTTTCCTTCGATCTTTTCCAGCATTAGAACCTTCTCCAGAGAGCTAGATCTTTGCATAATGTGTCTGAAGTAGGATAATTTGATCTAGTCATTTGTGTCTCTGGTCAGAACTCTGGGTTGATTTGTTCAATGATCCATTTGTTTTCTTGGCTATCCATGGTATTCTCAGGAGTTTACTCCAACACCAAAGTTTAAAATGTCAATTTCTATCCAGCTTCTTCAAAGTTCAAATTTCACTTTCATAGAATGTCACAGGGAATACCTTTGCTTGAACTATTCTATCTTTGCAGGTATAGACACATCACAGAACCTGAATATCTTTAAATATTTAGGCTTTAAATATCTTTAAAGATATCTGAATATCTTTAAATGGCTACTGTACCAAATACTAGTCTTGGTGTATCTCTTGGCTGCTTGCTCCTTTACTATTGATGGTGAGCCTAAAAGGCAGAAGCTATCCACCACTTCAATATCTTCATTCTAAGGCTGATTGTTGTGCCTGTTGTCATTATTTTGCTCTTCTTTATACTTAAATCCCATTTTTTTCCCTGTGCTCCTTGACTTTTACTAGAGCTTGCAGATCCTTTGCATTTTTGGCTATCAGAGAAATGTCATCAGCATAGGGCAAGTTACTGATGTTACTTCCTCCAATTTTAAAACCATACTCATCTTCTTCCAATCCAGCTTTCTTTAATATAAATATATTCAGCATATAGATTGAACAAAAAATGGAAAAGTACACACCCTTGTCTCACTCCTTTGCCAAACTGCAGACAGTCTGTTTGCCATGTTGTGCCCATAATGTAGCTTCCTGACCCTGTACATAAGTTTTGCATGAAACTGAAAAAAGCTTGTCTACCATACCATTTATATAGAAATTGAATAAAAGATGTGCTAATATACAGACTTGTTGTATATCCTTAGGAGTTGGAATGGGTGCTATCAGGTTTCTTGGAGACATCTTACTCTGACTGATGTTTTTTCATGTACTGCAGAAATATGAAATAGCAGTCCGTGATCAATGGTGGTATTGTACAACTTGTACTATAGTTTGGTCCAAGAGATGAAATGAAATGCTGCCTTAAGATCAATAAAGACTGCACATAGTGGTACTCTGGGAAGTATATTTCTTAATAAGATGTTGAAATATGAGTCCCTGGTCAGTTGTAGAGTGACCTTCCCTGAAGTAATCATTCCTGTTCCAGCCAGTCTCTAAATTTACATTAAAGATGCCTCCTAGACCCCAATCCTTGAAAATGCAGTCAGGTTCATCAATGGTAAAAAGAGATGCTAATACAGGGGCTCACCATGCTGCATTATTTTTAATTAACTCAGGTGTTATGAAGCTTGTGCCTGGCACCTAAGTTGCAAGTTTAGAGCCATAAGCTCCTTAAAGAACTAATTAAATGATGTCAAGCCAGCTAGAATTATTCTTGATTTAGCTGAATACTGACAAAGAATAAATAATCAAAGCTGGCTTGGCATTATTTAATGTTAATTAGCTTTTTTAGTACTATACATTTCAATAATAAATCTGCTGTTGTGTTCTGACATAATATATTTGATTTAATCAATGGGCAATTGGGGCTAAATGAATTATAGGTTGTTGAACGGAGTGCTGTGTTTTAATGTTCTTTTCTGCAAATTCCAGAAATGATTCCATGCCCTGATATTTCCTTTGATTTTTTTCTTCTTTGTTCATTAATGTTAGAGTCATTTTTTTCTGAGGATCCTGTGTGGCAAGGAAGTATAGAAAAGGTTGAACTCAACAAATTAATTGCTCTTATAAACTGTATGATATCAAATGAAATCCACTGTATTTGTAAAGGGATATTATGTATATATGTAACAGTTTTCCAAAAGTTGTACAAATATAAAAGCCTAATTAGGGAAGTAGTTATTTTAAGCAGCTCCATAAAATTATATAGAAATATCTATGATAATCTTTTGTTAAGGCTGCAGTGATAGTTACAATTTTAAAGTAGTTTTTTAAATGAAAAGTTTGGAGAAACTTAGTGAATGTATTTGCTAAAGGCACATATAATAATTGTATAATATGTGCTTCTAGTAGCATTTGACTTTTTAAAAAAATATAGACAATCTTTCGTAAAGGCTTCTAAATGAGTATTGGGATTATATTTTATGAAATCAGAAAAAACTAAACCTGTGTTCATTCAGTGCTGTTGTGAGGCAAATAATGGGAGCAATTTCATCAACACATACCTATTGAATGAAGCCTAGTTTGTTTTTTTTTAAGTTCATCCATCCACAGATTTCAAAGAGACAGAAAGATATGGCATACTGCAAATGTTATAAACTACAATCCAGTTATGTAAACTAAATTTGTTCATGTGGAATGGTTCCAACATATCAGAACCATACCAGGCTGCTGAAGAGAATTATAACTTCCTGCTGTAACATATATCATTTGCATTTAGTCTTACGATGCAGCAATAATGCTTCCAAGTCCAGAATAGAATATCAGTATTTCTGGTTCTTTGGGTTGTTTGTGGTCTCTGTAAAAATAATCTGCTCAAATCCTAAAACCAGACACCAGGAGTGAATGTCTAATCCCACTGTATCCAAGGTGACAGCATACTTATGTTTACCATCTAACCCAAACACTTCTAGTAAGTGTTATTTTAAGCCTGCTGGTCTTGATCAGATCAGCTGCCTAAGTGATTTAGAGTGAGAGATGTGTCCTGGGTTAATTGAGGGTCCCCCCCCCCCCCCATTTTAAAGTTTACTCCTTCTAATCTTGGCAACTTTAAGAGGTGTGGACTTCAATATGGCTGGCTGGGGAATTCTGGGAGTTTAATTCCACACCTCTTAAAGTTGCCAAGCTTGAGAAACAATGTTCTAATCCAACAAAGTGTAGGCTGAAGTGGAGATAGATCACAGACAGCTGCAAAACAAGTGGATATTTAATATTTGGTGAATATGAATTCAGTGGTTACTTTATAAAAGTATAAAACACAGAAATGTATTGGAATAACATTCATACTGATTGGCCAGCCAGAGCCACCATATGAACAAATCATTTCAAAGGGCAATGTCCAGAAACACTTCTAACTTTATGCATTTTACTTATTTCTTTATTTAAAATATGTGATAAAGATGCAACAATGTTTCAGACATCAGCCATTCCCATTGCAATGTTTATGCTGTTAATATATTATCCCTTAAACTTGCACGTACATCCCACTGCCTAAATCTGCTTGTAATATAAGGTTTTCCATGGCTGGAAGAGAGATATACTGGTCAGTGACTAACTAATATTTTGGCAGATTTTGTATAGGTTTTTTTCCTTATCCAGGAAAGTTTCTAGTTGATTTTTCGTTTCTGCAGTCATTCAGAAGCTAATACTAATTTGCTATATGAGATGCCTGTTGGGCGCCACCTCAACTGCAGTACTTGAAAATTCAAACTATTGTTTTTCCTCCCCTGAAAATATGTTAATTTCCCCCCATTAATTTTCACTTATCAGCCATAAACTCCACCCTTACCAGTAAGGAAATAAAATAAAATGAAAATAATTATTGGCACTTTTCCACAAATGTATTAATTGGTAGTGTTGTACTCTCAACTCAACTGCTCACTGACACGTCATTTTATTTCTCCCAATGAATTTCTCCCTTTAGGCAGGGAACCCATTCATAAGTATGCCTATTAAATAATAAGAACATTATAAATAGTCTATAAAATTCCCAGAACAATGCATGCTAATATATCTAATCATATTAGTGCTACGTTTAGCATCCTATCTTCCCAATAGTATAAATGGCATGCATGCGAGTGTTGCTTTATGATTTCTTATTGGCAATGTTTATGCCTAATGTCTTTATTTAGCTTGATTGTTCCATTTTGAATGCTTGGGGCACATAATAAAAGCAAACATAAAGAACACTTAATCTTATCCAAGAAACCAAAGAAAATACTAAATTTAATATTTCAAATCCCCAACCCTTCTCTAATTTGCCTTAGAACCCATAATGCCTATTCAGAGTGTCCAGTGCCTATTTTTCAATACCTGGAATTAAGAAAGATGGTCTGCCTAATGATTGTCTGCCTTAACACTAATAACATCTATGGAATTTCCTTTAATTAAACATACCAATTAATCTGAATCAGCACACTGCATATTAACACATTATTTGTGAAGAAACATACTTCATATATTTATTTAATTTATATTTCACCTTTGGTCCAAGCAGCTAAGGCAACTATCAACATAGGAAAAATATAAAATGAAAGCAATTCACTTCAAGATAAACACATTATAGAATATGGTAATCTAGATGTGCCCTGCATATCTAGAATATAAACATCTCTCTAAAATCCTCTAAATTTTTTGAACAAATGTTAGTTGTTTGTTATGGGAATGAAATTCAGCTTTGGATCCTGGTGCAGGGACATCTGCAGTGGGGGGTTCAAGGAAAAGTCAGGCTGGTGCTATGACTGTGCAACTGAAGCTCCACACCCTTTTTAAGTGTTAGAGCTGGACCTTTAATCTGAAGTCTTGCATAGCCCTCCTCCCCAGTAATGTGGCTATTAAACTTAAGCATCTATGGGAATTGACGTTTCTATTTCTATGAACTTCAGTACTGGAGGCTTTCTTTTGTATGTTTTTATGAATAAATAAGAATGAATGGGTATGGCAGAATCAAGGATATCAAATATAGCACCTAAATTTGCAAAATGCAGTTATATATTTAAAATGTGATTTTCTATTTTTCTAGAAATTGTCCTACACTAAAGAAGCAATGGGTGGGTGAGTATCTACATTGTTCTATATTTTACAATATGTTGTAAGAAGTAAGAAACGTTGTTTCCATGATTTATCTTTATTGTGCTGTTTTGATTTCTTGTCAGTTCCTGTAGTGATTTGTCCTGTGGGTAAGTCAAACTTCTTTAAAGCTTCACAACTTACTTACTTCCTATTATCTGGGTTCAGTTAGAATTCCAGGCTCTTAAAAATACATTTTGTAAGCACTGAAAAGCACTTCCAGAATCGTCAACAGGCAGAGTTGGTCCAACATGCAAAGCTCAAAGCATTTTTATCTTGCTTGAGGTTTGGAAAAAGCCTTGGCTATTGGTTATGCATTTAGCTTTTATAAAAAATTCAGAATGGATATGTTTTTTGGGAGCCATAAGAAACATAGTTAAGCTGCAGTTTGCAGCTATAAACATTGATTTAGCTATCCTAGGCTTGATGTCATGGTTAGGTGATTTTCATAGTCTAGGAAAAACAAACTTTCAGCAAACACCAATAACCATAATTCCATCTTTTCCAAGTCACTGAGATATAAATTTTGGGCATTTATTACATCTTTAACCATTTTTTAACAAATTCTCCAAAAGCCAAACAAAAGGCATAACAAATATGTTAGCTGAATGCCATCCAGTTCTTTTTAGCAAGTTACATACTTTTTGTAATCTTTCTAGTATCATTAATAATTAGCTGATTAAGGATAACCCATTTTTAGGTCATATTTATAACACCAACCTAGTATATTTAGAACAAAGCACTTGCCAAGTTTTCAAAGGTATCAAATAATAGCTCTCCAATTGGACCATAATAGTACATAATCATAATCATTTTCATTTTATTATAGAGGTTATCAAATGTACCCAATGATGGAGTCCTTGGGGTTCTCTGAGCTTGGTTGTTTTCTTGCAAACGTTTTGTTACCCAGCTAGGTAACATCTTCAGCCAAGCTCAGAGAACCCAAAGGACTCCACAGTTCAACCCTGAGCTACACGTATTCTCTGCTATTGGTACCCAATGATATAATTGAAAATCAAGAAAATTAGACTTCTTACATTCATAGGGAACCCATAACTTTGAAAGGGACACCTTTGATGTTTGACCATCCATAAAAAATCTAATCATTGATTTATTAGGCTGCTGTTTTCTATAGTAATTCTTCCATGTGTTTTTATAATTTCTTCTATCTCTCTTCCTGTACAGTAAAATCCATTCAGGAATGAAAAATATAGTTTTCAGTGTCTTGATTGGTAGCACTGAGAGCCTTCTGTTTTAGCCTGGGCATGTGTACAGGACTTTTGGGGGAAAGGGGAGAGAGGAAAGATTTGTAAAATGTACTTTGAATTTTTATTAGTGGTCAGAGCTGGGCTAAACTTAAATCAATGGAAAAAATGTTGTCCACCTCACAGTTTTGGGAAAGGGCAGGCTATAATATAAGTTACGTGCAAAATAACATTTCTAACCAAACTGAAGTTTAAATATGTTGACAAATTTCACATTTCAAGGTACAAATATTTGCAAAATCATTCCTGTTTGACCCTAGCATTTATTATTTCATTATTCAAAATCCATATTTTTGGCATCATTTGACTTAACAATTCTGGAGTTTTTCAATCTTGATCATAAAGATTTGAGCAATCTGTGGCCTGCCTCATAAGTACAAGAACAATTCAAAGACTTGTTGAAAATGATCACAGTTCATATGCCACAAACAATGTCAGGTAATTTCAGAAGACATTTTTATAATATAAAGTTTGTTTTGAAACACTGAAATATGTATCCCCAAGTACTGAAATTGAATGAGTGTTACATTCCCAGAGAAGTAGAAGAATGTCAGGGGTTCTTTCCAAGTTGAGACATTCTGAAAAACAGTGAACTGGAATAGTAATTAGGGAGCTCAGACTTTATTTAGATGTCAGCATACTGTACTGCTTTTTATTAAACATGACAGTAAAAGCTGTTCTTTTTCAAAGAGCAGCTAGAGAATTTAAAAAGTCAGAAGAAAAAAATAACTTTAATGTAGCCACTTCCCATTTCTATGCTTTTTTCTTATTCAGATATATGGGGACATAAGTTTATTTACACTGAACCAAAGTTGTTTTGTACTACCTGTATCCATGCAATGAAAAATGAAGAAATGTGCAGTTGCTATGTCAAGTGGACTTTTGGGCACAGGCCAAAACATGTCTTGTGACATCATAAAGAGCAGAGCTGTAGATTCTATACATAATAAGAGTTCTTGGCCAAAATAAACTTGGAGCAGAGGTGGGCAGGGGTCCCTCCTATGTGTGAGAGTTGGGGTGCCCCTCCCTAGTGTGAGAGACAGGGAGGGGAGCCCAAGGGTGAATCAATAATGTGAATGTGGGTGTGAGTGTTGTGAGGATACTTGCCCCCCATGAGTGAGAGTTGGGAGGGAGGGAAAGTAGATTGGGTACTCCTTGCTGGCTAGTGAGAGAGGCCAGTGAAGGGGGCACAGTGGGTGATAGTGTATGAAGGGGGTGAGGGTTAGGGCTCCGATGGCACTGAGAGCAGTAGCTGAAGTGCCGAGGAGCCCACCACCACTCTCTGATTGATTGAGGCGTGTGTTGGGGTATGGCTGGATGGAGGGCCCCCTAATCAGGGAAACCGGAGGTTGGAGATTGGGGGGAAATGGAGGCTCTGGGGAAGTTAGGGAGGGATGTTATGATGGGAGTCAGAGGGTGGGCCGCTTTCAGGGAAGGTGTTCCTGGTGTTTGCTACTGGTGGCTTGTTCCAGCCCTCTGGACTCAGACCCAGGCTCCAGAGAACAGATCCATGGTGGCCCTGGCTTCTGGCTGCTGCTTCTTAATGCCAGGTTAGTTAACAACAAGGTCCCCCCCCTTATATGTCATTTGATCGGGAGCGGGCCGACCTGGCATGTATTACTGAGACTCTCTATTGGCCTTCAGGGGTGCTGCTCCACAAGTGGCCAGTTGTGAGACCCTGTTCCTGAAGCTGGGATCGCAAGAACAGTTGGGATTGTTGCTTCTGTACCAGCCTCCCTGCTGCGTAGCAACCTCCCTGCCTGAGCTGCTGGAGGCAGTCTTGGGGCTGGCGGTGGAGTTCCCCAGACTTAAGGTTCTGCGGGACTTTAATCTGCCATCTCTGGGACATGCCTGGGAGGCAGGCCAGGAGTTCATGGCTACCATGGCAGCCACGGGCCTGTCCCAGATTATTCACGACCGAACTTGGGACAGTGGTCTCACACCAGACATGATTTTCTTGTCTGAACAGTGGCAATGTGATCTGAAGGGAGAATTACATCTGTTCCCCCTGTCATGGTCTGAACATGCCCTGGTGGCCTTGAGATTCTCCTATGCCACCCCACTCTGCAGGGAGGCAGGACCCACTCGATTGGTCCACCCCCGGCAACTGATGGACACAACTGATGGGATTCCGGAGGGAGCTGGGGAATATACCTGAGGATCTGCTGCAGGGTCCAGCGGAGGCCCTGGCTGCCACCTGGAATAGGAAGGTGGCTGAGGCCTTGGACAAGATCACGCCCATGCAACCTCTCTTGACCAACTGAGCCCGATACTCCCCATGGTTTACGGAGGAGTTGAGGGTTCTGAAAAGGATTAAGAGGTATCTAGAGCGCCGCTGGAGGAAAATAAGGATGGAATCCGACCGAACACAGGCTAGAGCCACTATTAAGGCCTACCTTGTGGCGGTAAGAGTGGCGAAATGCTAACAATTCTCCACTCCTATTGCATCCACAGAATGCTGCCCAGCGGCCCTGTTTAAGATCACTCAATCTCTTCTGGGAAAGATGGGCCCAGTGACCCATATACAGGGCCGTGCAGAGGAGTTTTCTGGGCATCTGGTGGATAAAATTGCTCAGATATGTTCCCAGTTGGATGCCAAGCATGTGGCATGGCCTGTGGAGATGCCTGGGGTATGTACTTAC